CCCGTCGACGCCCCCAAGCTGTACATGCCCTGGGCGCAGACGGACCACTGCGGGCTGTCCCCGACGTCCTCGGTGGCGTCGTCCTCGTCGCACACCGCCTTCCAGAGCTCGTCGCCGCCGCCCGCCACCCCCGAGGACCTGTCCTCCCCGGGCAGCGTGAGCAGCGGAAGTAGCAGCAGCGCCGGCAGCACCAGCGCGGGGTCGAAGAAGCGCAAAGACAGCTCGGCGCCGCGCTACCAGTGCCCCGACTGCTCCAAGTCCTACTCCACCTTCTCGGGGCTGTCCAAGCACCAGCAGTTCCACTGCGCGGCGTCGGCCGGCGCGCAGGCCAAGAAGTCGTTCAGCTGCAAGTACTGCGAGAAGGTGTACGTGTCGCTGGGCGCGCTCAAGATGCACATCCGCACTCACACGCTGCCCTGCAAGTGCCGCATCTGCGGCAAGGCCTTCTCGCGGCCGTGGCTGCTGCAGGGCCACATCCGCACGCACACGGGCGAGAAGCCCTTCTCGTGCCCGCACTGCAACCGCGCCTTCGCCGACCGCTCCAACCTGCGCGCGCACCTGCAGACCCACTCGGACGTGAAGAAGTACTCGTGCGCCTCTTGCAGCAAGACGTTCAGCCGCATGTCGCTGCTGACGAAGCACACGGAGGGCGGCTGCCCCGGCGTGGCGGCGGCCCAGCTGGGCGCGCTGCCGCCGCGGGAGGGCGTCGCGACGCACCTCCTGGAGCACGACGCCGCCGCGGCGGGCGTGGGGGTGGGCGTGCCGCTCATGGCCCCGCAGGAGGTGAAGGCGTACCCGTAGACCGCGGGTGCGACCCTCCGGCCGCCCGGCGCCGCCGCGCCGCGCCCTCGCTGCTAGTCGTCTTTCTCGTGTCCCGCTGGCGCCGAGGTGGCGCCGGGACGCCCAACCCACCGATCCCGCGTCGATCCCCGGACCCTGGGGAACGCCGCCTTGTTCGGGACGAGTCCACCGCCTGACGTCGGAGGCAGGGGGAGGGTGCTGCAAGCCTCACGTCACGAGAAACAAGCCCATCGTTTTGAGTTGCCACAACTCCACTTTACGACCCATATAATCCAATTACATTACTTGTGCAGGCATGTCTTACCGTTTTAAGTCTAACGTACGTAAGGTACTCCTGCTTGAATGATATGACCAAAATTTTGTTAAGTATCATTTTAAAACTAATCCCCAAATGGGCTCGTGATTTGTGAATTTGTAGCACACCTCTCCGTATTGTCTTCCGACTTGGGACATCTCTGTGAAGTGCCTTTATTGTGCCTTATGGCCTTGTCTTAAAAGACTGAATACATAAATCTCATTCACCTCGAAGGTGTAGATACTTTTTAATACATACGACAGTACAAAGTAGAGGGGCCTATTCTTATTTTTTCTTTCTCGAGTTTTTTGATTCATTGATAAAATGCCGATGAAATTTGACGATCTGGCTGAGATGAAGTACTCAGTTTTGTGTACGTAGCTCCTCCAGGATGAGTGTCGGTATATTTTTCCATAATAACGCATTTATTTAATTGTAAAGGTTATTTTTGTATCACGTTAATCAGACTATTTTTGAGATGCTATTGTGTGAATGACAATAAATTGTGGAGTAGCACAGAACAATGCAACTTATGTATAAACACATTTACATTGTTCATTCCTTGTATAATGCCATGTTACATTTTGCACTGTCAACCTTCTTGTACAAGTGCTGTCCAGCACACTTTTGTATAATATTTTTTCTTATGTATTATTATTTGTAGTGTTTTGTAATAGATATTGTATTTTATTTTTCACTCGCAGCGGTGAGCTCAAAGGTAGTTCGCCGTTTGCCATCTAAAAGCTAGTCACATGGGAGCAGTGTGGAAGTTCCACTCTTGCTCGGGATTAATAATTTTTGTACTTCTAAAGGGATGAAACATGATCCAAATCCATTATCATACAGTGCCATGGGCCTGATTTTATTTTGTATCGTTTCATCAAATTTATATTATGAAATGCAGAAGTTTATACGATTATAATAAATCTGTTTAAAAGAAAAGAAAATACTTTTCAATTATGTGATCCTTATCCTATTTCACCACTATCCAGTATCATGTTATGATCTTGATTAGAAAGAATGAAAAATATTAAAAATATCGTTTAGAGAAGTCCAGGTTCAGATAACTGTATTATCGGTCTAGGGACTTTAAATTAACTACATATATTTACAGAGGATGAATAAAAACTGAAGTTTGCAACAACTGATAGATTCCTTTAATCGTAAAATTGAATAAGAATTTAAAACCAGTAAGTCATTAAACTCTGATAATTTCGTACAAAATTTTAAATAATTTTTTGGTAATCTCCTCGTCTAAGATTCTCATCTCTCTGATGAAACTTCCATCAATTAAAGGTGCTTGTAAGCTTTGCTTAACTACTTTCCCGAGTACTTTGCTTCAAGATGTTCAGCCACGAACGCCTGAAAAAGGGAACAGCAGAGGCCGGCTCTAGAAAGTGCCGCAGTAACCAGAGATCAAACGAGCTAATTGTGAAAGCGGGAAGGCTTCGTGCGTTGTTCGTCATCTGTTGATGGGTCCGCAACAACGGGCAGAGCGTGCTTGCTCCCGGTTCGGGCCGCAACCTCATAAACAACGAGATTGCAATGACATCAGCGGCGGTAGCAGGAGCAACGGTCTCGACAGGACGAAGGGGGCGGGGACGGAATGAACGGAGTCGCACGAGCTTGAACCAAGACTCTGCTAATGGGACGACTCTTGCCCAAGACAGCCCGGGAAGCTGTGGTGAACTACTGCGATCGTTACGGGGCAGAACAATCTTCTACTTGTCTGCAGTGCCGAAGAGGTACTGTTGCGAACGCGGTTCACTTAACCGTACGTGCTTTAAGAAACTACAGACCTCGTTTGTATGAGGAACAAAGTATTTTGCCATTAAGTGGCGGAAAATTTTAATACCGTTTATTAAAGTCGATCTCTCGTAATGGGATCTTTAGATCGAGACGATCACGGCATAAGTAACGTCGAGACTTAACAGGAAGCCGGGGGTAGAACGGGCGTATTACTCCTCTGCGGGTCGTATAAAGAGATGACTAGCCCTCTAGCAACCGTCGACCTATTGAAAAAGGTTCCCCTTAGACGCAGCAGGTCAGCCTGCTTTCTCAGTAACTTTCTGAGCTTCTGGAGCATTCAATCCCTCGTTTTTTCAAACTGAACTGGCGCTTCCTGTCAAATGCTATAACGGGAGCAAAAAATAACGAGCCATAACTTGAATCGATAAACAAACGCGGCAAACACACCATTCAGAGTACGTCGCGTGAGCGTAGGAATGTAAAGGAAATAGATGTGTTGGGAATTTAAAGAATATGTGCGTGTTTACCGATTCCAAATCTTGTGAGATGGGGAGCGGTAGGGAATTTTAAACTTTCTAATCTGGAATCGATGTACTTTCTTTGCTATACCAACATTTCTTATTGCTTGAATCTCTACTCTTTTGAACCAGTATGCGCATTAATTCTTTTAAGTAGGACATATTAAAACGTGTCCATACACAATTTCGTGGAATTCTTTCATAGGACAACTTTCCACAAAATACATACGGAGTCATAAATACTATAATGCGGACTTAGAGTATTACAAACATTACAAGAGTGATGAGAAACCATTTCAACTGTTGGTTCATGTATACGAATAGAAATAGTGAAAAACTCCAAACTGTTTGAGGAAAATTATAACTGACAAAATCGGGTTAAAATAACGTTAATCTAAATTGAGTTGTTTAAACATTTATTACTTTATATTTATACTTAAAAACTGATTTCGCAACATGATTATGACTGATTTGCTTTGCTGTTCAGCTGGATTTAAAACCTTCAAGAAACTATTCTCGTAAGTCTCTTGAATTATACAATATCAAAATGCCAATATTACATAAAATGTTCACTTCTAACAATTATAAACATCCTGATTTGACCAAATTCGCTTTTTTAGTCACTACAAAACTAAACGGATTATGTCATCATCCGCCATTTGGATATGATACATCCCCAGTTCTACTCGGTACAAAAGTGTACGAGAAAATACGAACATATTTTTTTTGTAATGCATGGGTGATTCATTAAATATAACAATCAGGGATAAAATGTTATTTCTTTAATCTGTAAACGTCCCAAACAAATATTTACAGTTTTATGGCAAAACGGACTTCACAGTTCTCAACTATTTCCGATAATTCAAGAAAATCAGTTATCTCAATCCTAGTGTAATCTAGTTACTATCTTCTAAAAAAAACATTCAAACACATTTGCATTCACTGGGAGACATCCTACAATAAAAGTCGAACCGCTGTCTGCAGGAACACGCGTGACAAAGACCTTGTCTCGCTTTCAAGGCCGCGAATTCATTTCTGACACCCGAAGTATGAGCGGAGTCGTGCGGCAGATGACGTCAGAGGACAGGCGACATTCGGAAGAAGGATGCGAGTCGTTTCGCGTTATGGGGAAAGGCCTTAAGTGGCGCAGGATATAAGACGAGACAGCACACGTGTTCGCTTTGCGCTCGTTAGCATTAACGTGTAGATTTCGATTTTTTTTTCATTCCGTACTTTCGAGGAACTAGTGACGTGCATTCTTGCTGTTTGATAAATTGTCTAAGAGTTTGATTTAGGTTCAGTGTATGCAAGTGGATGTAAACCGGCGGGTGAGTGCACTTTAGAGGCCGCAGACAATGTACACAAGTTGAATTTTTTCGTTAAAATTCTTTGTTTGTTACTTCTTATTAGCACATGAGAAATTTTATGTGCTGAATATGTTTATTTTTTTATGTATGATTTTGAAAAATGAAGAAATAACGCAGCGTTTGAATATCGGTTTTTAAGATTATATAGAATTTTTTTCCATCAGACGAAAATTTGAGCTTTTCTAAAACAAAATGACGTTTGTTCGTGGATTGTTTGCGATTGAAAGTATTCATTTATGCCTTAAGAGGTGAAGATCCTATTTTTAAAAGATAAACTTGACAGGATACTATTTGATTTTTTCTTGATTGATTAGAAACTTCCTGTTAATCCCCAATGACCACTAGCAAACATGCCCGTCGCTGTTCAACCAGTAACTAGCTTGACCCGAAGTTAAAGCTTCCTTCCACTAAGGTACCACCTTTGCTGTATGCAGCCACGATGAATTCGTGGAGCCTGTCACAGACGAACTCTGGAGGCAGTTTCGAGAACTGACATGGAGCTTCAGCGGGTCCACACAACAGAGTAAAATAAGTGTCCGACGTTTTGTATAATAATTAATACTAATATTATTTAAAATTACCTCTCATAAAAATTATAAATGTTTACAACAAATCTCATTATAAACAAATATGTTTATAGAATATCAGCCCTTCATGTTATTGAAATTCCAACGTATAGCCTACTTCTTATTTCGGATGGTGGTAGGTATGATACAAAAATTTCATTCAGACAATAAAACTTATGTTCACGAACCAATTTATTTCTGTACTTCTTAGCCTAGAATCATGTAACAATTTCATTGCATGTTTGATTTTACAAACAGATAATCAACGATTTGCTATCTCTTAACATTTCTCAATAATTGTACTACATTCACGAAATTAAGAATTAAGTTCTTCATTTCTCATTATTAAACGGTAACTTTTTTGGCAATTATTCGATTTTAAATAAGATGAGAGCGTAGACATTACTTGAATCTTACATAACCATTGCATATGGTAGAAGGAAAAATGACAAATTCAGTTGTATTTAAAACCGCAATGACGAAACTTGGCGTGGCGCGGATGCGG